ACCAATAAACCTAATAAAGCATTCTAGGGAACTCCTTGATTGTGGCAAGGGCCTGGGGAAGAAAGTGACCCGCATGCACTCAGAGGGGTTTTTACTAAATACGTTGTAGATGAGACCAGAGAGACTTCTGTAGTTGGAGTCGAACCCCTCTTCCGAGTATATGGGGTATCTTAAGGATTCAGTAGGAGACATCCTTGTGGGGTCCTACTAAGTCCCCCACATTTGAGGGCTGAGAGCGGGAGTCACAGGATCTACCCCACTCAGCCTTTAGAAATGGCAGCGGCGAGGCAGATAAACGGGACAGGGGCTGTCTAGCAGTGAAGGCAGGAGCCGTGGGAGCCCACAGGGCCGAGGGAATCCCACCAAGATGTGGGAGGGAGGGCGATGGGGGAGGAGGGAAGAACGGCTTCAAAGAGGAGATAGGGATGAGCAGGAACTTGAAAGACGAGGAAGTGAGGGAGGGGACGGAGGGAGGATGGAGGAGATAGGAAGGCTTTCCAGGGACAGGGTGAGGTTTTCCTAAAGCCCCGAGCTGTGAAACAGCGAGACAAGGTGTAGAAACAGCGGCAGTTCTGTGAGATCCTGAGACAGATCATTCGGCTGCAGCGTGGAGATGTGACGGGGAGCAAGAGGTGACCAGAACTGGATGGAGGGGACAGGGTAGGCGGCTGCAGAGCGTCACATGAGAGACGATGCAGAACTGAGCTCAGGCACACGTGCAGGAGGCAGGAGGTGAGGTAGGAGGTACAGCAGGTTGGCGCAGGGTTTGGGGGGCTTGAGGGGAGGGTGAAGTTGGAACCGGGGAGTCACAGCGCCAGCCACTGAGCTGCCAAAATACCTGCAAACGAGAGCACGGTTTTGAAAGGGAAGACGGTGAGTTTGTGCAGGGCCTGGTGAGTGGAGGGTCCCCTGGAGATGTCCAGGAGAGAGTTGGATGTGTGATTTTGTGGCTCAGACAAGAGGTCTGTGGAGGGCCCAGGGCCCTGCCCTGTGAGGGACAGCCTGGCTGGTCAGTCTTTTAGTGCACACGCTGTGTGTTATAACGCGTGAGACTACCATGCATGGGGCGTGAAAATGAGATGGATGGAATGCACAGTGCACAGAGGACAGAGTCGCAGGCTTAGTCCTGACTTGTGCTATTCCAGCACAGGTATGTCTGTATCCAAGGAACTCTCCTATTTTAACACCCGGGGAAATCCCCTCTCTCCCTACCAACAGCTCTGAGCACGAAAAAGGTGGTTCACAAAAATCTTTTCTGTTGAATTCATCCTCGTGTACTTATTACCCATCTTTTTGGCTCTTCATATATCTGTCTTTAGATAGATACATACATATACACATACACACATACATGTATACATATACACATATACCTACATATATACTCATATATACACACATATCTGTGTGTGTTCAAACGGATTGTGGTAATTTACACTCCCAACAGCATTGTATAAAAGTGTATGACTTGGATTGTTCTTGCCAGCATTAGGTAAGAGCATTTCAAAAATATTTGCTAATTGCACAGGTAAAAACACATTATTGTATTTTATTTTATATTTTTAAATATTTTAGCTGTTTACATTATAGTTTAAATTAAGGCCTGAGTATTAATTCTCAAAGAAAACGTATTATTAATTTCTAATGTTATCTTTTTCTCAGCTACCTTTGCCCAAATACAAATACTCAAAAAACTTAAATACTACAGAATAAAAGCTGGTATTTTTTAAAGCTAAGATCTGACTATTTACCTTTAGTAATTTGAGGCTACTCTTAATTACTTAAAATTTCTAATTTAGTGTTTTATTATTTGAATGTCCAATTTTCAAATACATATTCTTTGTATTTTATCTCTATAACCTCTGTATTTATAAGCCATGCCTTGAAATGCCAATTGCATATATATTTTTTTATTTTGGTTTTTAAATTGTCACACAATACAGTTGATTTTTGGTTTTGGTATATGTTTCTGTGAATTTGATTCTAGACTTCTGTCACCACTAGAACAATCAAGTTATGGAAGGGTCTATTTTCCCCCAAAACTTGCTTGTGCTATCTATCCCTCCCTACCCAACTATTGGTAACCACTGATTTTTTTTTGCTGCATGTAGTTTTGTCTTTTAAAGAATGTCTTATAAATGCAATTATGTAATATCTTTTTTTATTTTGCATTTCCTAAGTTGCTCAGAAAGCTGAACATTTTTCTACATAACTAGTTGCAACTATGTTTTTCATAACATGTATAGTTTGTGTCTTTGCAACTTATTTACTTGGGTCATAAATAGTGTTTTCCTTACAAATTTGCATATGCTCATAACAAGAATGACGTTAACATACTGTCTGTTGCGCTGACTATAGATATTTTCCCTTTAAGTTTGGTTACTTTCTTTAAATGTGTGAGACCTTACAAATAGTAATATCACTTGATCTGAAAATATTATGGTACTCTGATAATCTAATCTAATAAAATATCCCTAAGTATAAAAATATTGTAAAAAAATGCTTTTACAGCATTATTTCTCATATGGAAAAATTGGAAACAATCTAAATGTGTAACTGTAGGTTTAGTAAAACAGATCATGAAGCTGCCCCTCAATAGAATATCATGCAAGGAGTAAAGGATGCTTACAAAGATGACATAGTAACTTAGAAAAATTTTATGGTAAAATTTTAAATTAAAAAGCCAAGTATAATCCCATACCTACAGTATGATCACAGCAGGTAAAAGAAAAACATAAGATCTGCTAATTTAAAAAGACTGGAGAAAATACATCAAAATAGTAACCAATTTTCTTTTATTGGTGGAACTGTGAGACTTTTCATTAATTTTGTGTGTTTTCTTCATTTTTGTAGTGGTCACCTATTCCTGTTACAAAAGGGAAAGAAATTCTGGGTAGTTCAGGAATAAAACCTTCTGCCTTTAAAATCTACCCCTGAGCGTGAAGCTCTATTGAACCATGTGTGCAGTTAACCACACAAATGCCAGTTGCTCTCAAGAAGTCAGAATAGATGTAAGATCATGTCACTGTGACCTGACCTTTAGAAACGGGGACGCTGACCTGGCTGTCATGCAGGTCCATGCATTGGGTAAATTATCAAAATACCGTGAGTGAGAGAACAGTGCATAGGGACCTGGTAAGATGGCAAGTGACTCTGGATTGCTTATGAAATAGGAAATCACGATGTCAAGCGAGGCCTTCAGGAGGAGAGAAACTTTGAGTACATCTCGCTTCTATACAGTATAGAAACCCTTGTACCCTAGACTTTCCATCTGTTCCTGAAGTAGAATTTCCCAGAGCCCACCCTGGAGATAGCAGAGCAACAAGTCACAAAAGGTCATAATGGTTGTAACTCAGACTTTATCCTTCAGACTCAAAACAGAGTTAATTACTTACCTTTACTTCTATTAAGGAAATCTTCACAAAAGTCCACACATGGCAAATACTGTCATACATGAGCGGAGTTCTCTGTGATCTTTCCTGATTAGTGTAGAAATAAAGATTTGTCTGAAAGACCCACGTGGCCCAGGAAAGAAGGGCCTCTTGAAGAAGTTCTCTCTGCAGAACTTTGAGCTGACAGCCCAGCTCCTGCCTGAGAAGTCTAAACTCAAGGTAAAAGGGGGTCCCCTAAAAATAAATCTGGAAGTTATCTAGCTGCCAAGTCAACAACATGATATATCATAATGTGTTTCGGAAACTGAGAACATCCGACAAATCATGTTTACACAACCACCTCCTTTAGGTAAACCTTCCAAACTCTGCAGGAAATTAGGGCTTTATTAATATCCATGAAATTAACAGCACCTGTTGGGAGCCCCTAATCTGTCTCTCTAGAGATTCAAAAAATACCCACAGAATATTGGCGTTCCGGAGTCCTGGAGATCTCATATGGCTTTGCTAGATTAGGTATTATAGGTTCAAAATTTCCAGTTATGTTACTGATTCTCACTTCCAGGTTTCTATTATTCCAAATAGTTTTCTTCCTTTATACAAAGTCAGAAAAGGGAGCCAGTGCTTTTTTCATGTTATCTTTGGCTTACTTGAGGAAGTTTGGGGAAATTCATGAGGATAAAATAGTTCAAGAAAAGAGAGAAAGCAAAGAAGTAACTTATTCACTGAATACCAAATGATAGTTTCAGTTTAATGGGACCTCATGGAAAAGTAGATTAAAAAAAAAAAAAAGGTATTTAATTAAGGTAAGTGGCCGGAGCAGAGAAAGACGGAACCACAGGTGAAGGATCAGACTAGAGGTAGCCAACATTATGAGAATTTTCATGTAAATCTCTATGAAAACATAATTATTAGGTCTTTTTGGCATTTATGAAGTACTTTGTTTATCCTTAGACCATAAAACACTATTTTACAATGGTCAATGATTTAGGGGTTTTTGTGGTTCATATTGTTTGAAGGCTTATTGTGTGTGTGTGTGTGTGTGTGTCTACCTATGACTGTGAAGAAAGCAGACCTTTTGAAAATGTCTGAAGTAAATAAGATCAGCTGCTAAATGCCTAGAGGTAATTCCATTACATGCAGAAATAGAACACATGAGAATTCTGCGGTGTCATATTTAACTAGTGTGACAAAAATAGACTCACTCTTTATAAACTCATTTTCTGATTACAGTGTGTTGTTTCCTGGTCACCTACTTGAATCACAGAAGAAATAAAATGTTGAAAAACGTTTGCCTCACTCTGCAACAATTAAATATAACTCCATAAGGTTGAGTGGAATTAATTCTTTAGTTAGTTCTCGTTAACGGGGTTCAATGCAGGCTTCCAGAAGGCCTCTTCTCTCCGCAAGTCAGTCTGTGGTTTGGGGTGAGTCCAGCAATGTGCTTGGCAGAGAGGAAATAAAAGCATTTGTTCCAATGGATAGTTGACCCATTTGAGGCTCTGGCCTTTGGCGATAAAGCACGAGTTACGTGGAGATGGGACACCAAAAATAATATATTATGGAGCCCCCAAATAGTGTTTGTCTTTTGTCATTTTCCAGGGAGCAACCATGTCACCCTTTCTTCGGATTGGATTGTCCAACTTTGACTGTGGGTCCTGCCAGGGGGAGGCCGTCAACCCTTACTGTGCTGTGCTTGTCAAAGAGTATGTTGAATCAGGTAAGCTTGAGTGGGCATTCCGGGTGAGAGAGGAGGAGGAGGATCTTGCTATGAACTAGGTATGAAGGAAGGCCTTCCAGGATCTTCAAGGTCATCTGGTCCAACCGAATTTTACGATTCAGGACACTGATGCCGGGAGAAGCCAAGTACTTCTTCAAGGACACACACTTAGTGATGGCCTCTGAGCCACACGCCTGTGACCCACTGATGCTCTATTTCGCTGTTCCACTTTTCCCATATAAACAAAGGAAAGGAGAAAATTGGATTGAAGAAATTATGTGTAAAATTAATGGGTAAGGAATCCAGTGAGATAAAACAGAATATGGACCTATATTGATGAGCCTGGTTGCCTTAAATGATTATGGATGGCTTGCAGTTTCTTGGACTGAGCCTAGATGAAGATTACAAAGAATCTATAATTAGCCATTAGAATCCAATTTAGAAAACTTACTTTTGCACTTACTACGACCCTAGGTGAATAAAAGAATAGGCATGTTTTGTCAAGTTTAAATATTTATAGGCAGTTCATGATGAGAGGAAGAGTGTGACGGCCACCCGAGATTTCTTCGGTGGGTTTAGAACATTCTGTTAAAACAATCCTATCATGGAGGGGATCTCTCCACATTGCTCTGACCGGCTGCCACTCTACTTGACCCCTACCTCTGCATTTTACGATTCTTATGGACCCTCCAAAGGAAAGGTAGGAGGAAGTTTATATCCCAAGACTTTCCCAATCTCAGTACCTTTTTCTGTTCCCATACATACATTTCGTATTTTAGCAGACACTTTATAGAAAAGCCTACAATGAGGCCGCTGGGACTAGAACAGAGAGGAAAATAAACAAAAAACAGAAAAAGTGCCTTCTCTTTAGAGCTTCTATTCTCGCAGAGGAAGACAGGCAGTGAGCAAAAATATTCTATGGTAAGTAATGAGTGCTGTAAGGAAAATCAAAGCAGGGTGAAAGGAGAAAGGATTAGGGATGTCTGTGAGGTGGTGACATTAGCAGGTGCACGGAGAAACTAACTCAGATGTTATGAACTTCCAGGTTTCTGGGGTTCCAAACCCTACTATGTTGCACCTTCTTGCCCCCAACAAAAGACTTTTGGCTTCATGGTTGACTTCCTTTTTCCAGCTGCTCTGAATACTTCAAAGCCTGGGAGACTGAATCATCTTAATTTCCCTTCTGTCCAGAGTTCTCACCTGTTTAGTAAAAAGAGAGAATGCCACTTGCTCCCGACCTAAAACCTTTCAAATGTCACAGACATCTTTAAAGTGTAAAATGTCTGAGTTTTTCAAAGCTGCTTTTGACTTATGGGGTCTCCCAGATCCGGTTCTCTTTGCAACCTCAGGACTGCCTGACATTTGCCTGCTGCGAGCCTGCTATTTTCTCCTTCTTCTTTTGGCCTTGCCTTTGAACGTGATCTAATTAGCCATATGGATCAAGTGAAGTTGGCAGAAAAGAGGAAAACTGTTTTTCCAAAAGATTGGCTTGTGGATTTGGGGGGCGTTTGGAGGCTTTTGTTTTTTATTTTGTTTTGGTTTTGTTCTAGAGAGAAATCACTCTGAACATCGTCACGCAAGTGTAACTGCTATAGAATTTAAATACGTTTCGGTCTTTGGGGTGTGAGGCTGCCTCTTCCATGAGGAGTTGACAGCTCTGGTGGTGCACCAGCCATTGAAAATGGTGACAATCACTGCATATAGATGCTCTGGTCCTCTTTTTAAGTGATGGCAAGCATCGTGGATGCATGGGGAATGGCGCCTACAGTTGTAAGGAATTATTCTGTGGAAGTAAAATGTTATAGTGATCACAAATATTCACATTGGTTTCTAAAAAGCCCAATCTCCAGTTAATTTTTTTTAATCAAACCATAAAAATCGTATCCTTCCTATTCCATCCTTAACAGTGTCAAAGTTGAAACCTCCACTAGCCAAGTTTGCCTAAAATTTGGAGTTTCAGCCTATGTGATTCCTGTATGCCACCAAAATAAATATTAAATGCTCAATGCCTGTTCTCTTTAGCCTGTGCATTGGGAAGAAGGGGCCGTCGCGAGTTACAACTGCTTTATTTCCCAGCTTTAAGCGGGTTTTTCCCTTTTGATGTGATTCCTGTATGCCACCAAAATAAATATTAAATGCTCAATGCCTGTTCTCTTTAGCCTATGCATTGGGAAGAAGGGGCCGTCGCGAGTTACAACTGCTTTATTTCCCAGCTTTAAGCGGGTTTTTCCCTTTTGCTTTAATTAACATCTCGGCTAAGTCTGCCACTTAATGTGCTGACGACAAGAAACAAACACTCAAATTCAGCTGCAGTTTCTGATTCTGAAATGATTAAAGAATAAATACCAGGGAAAATTTGATATGGATGGCTTGTGACAAAACCACTTAATCCATTATCGAACTCTTTCCCAATCACCTGTGGCTTCTGGTTTCCTTTAAACCGATCGTCCTGTCCGTGGTTCTTGCTGCTAACAGTCTCCAGGGCTCCTCCCTGTCTGCTTTTCCTTGCTTGCAGCTCTGTAGTCCGCTTTCCTGGCTCCATGGGGTATGGCCACCCTCTCCCTGGGTGCATGGTGTATGTGTCTTCATTCAAGAATTAGAGAAAGAAATGATGGCTATTGCCTCAGTGTATTTATGTCAAATGGAAAACGGTGAGATATCTTTTTAAAGGAACACTCATAGGCTTAGATTTTGCCACCACGCCTTTCAGGTGAGCAAACAGTAGTTTTGTATTGACGATGTATTTTGCATTTTGTATTGACGTGTATTTTGCATTTTGTATTGACATGATCAACTCTTTATAGGTTAACAAGGGAGAATACCAGTTTATTCGCTTGGGTGTTCACACCCAAAGTGAAGCAACTAACCGTTGAGTAGGGAAGCAATATTTCCAGTCTAAGACATTATCAGATTGTTGTCTAAATTTTCTACACCTTGCATGTAGACCTTGGAACTATCTCATTCTGTCCTATACTGTGTCTGATCGTTAAGGTGTTACTTTTGTCTTCCCAACAGAATTGCATATCCCAGAGAGCAGAGGGACTGAGTGCCACTGTTAAGTTGAATTGAATTATTTTCCAGAACTGGCCAGAAGAGTAATGAGAACGTTATCTCTCTGTTCCTAGAGAACGGGCAGATGTATATCCAGAAAAAGCCAACCATGTACCCGCCCTGGGACAGCACATTTGACGCCCACATCAACAAGGGGAGAGTGATGCAGATCATTGTGAAGGGCAAGAACGTGGACCTCATATCTGAGACTACCGTGGAGCTCTACTCACTGGCTGAGAGGTGCAGAAAGAACAATGGGAAGACAGAAATATGGGTAAGTGTCCACGCCGTGCGCTTTATTTAAAGTATATGCACCATTAAGTGATGAGCACGAGGTTAGTGGTGACCAGCTCAAAATTTCCACGATGCCCTAAAGGTCTGATTACACTGGCTGTGGGTGAACAACAGACCCCCACTACTAATTCATGGGTGATTTGATGGTGACAATGATTATTCATGGTGCATTATAGAACACACTAACGTGTTTAAATCTGTTTGATTCCTATGTGAGATGGAGAAGGTCTCTTAGGCTAAGGGAAACTGTTATTGATTTATAACTGTTAAGAGTAAGCTTGGAAATATCACAAAGTCCCCTTAATTTGGGAACCTAATGGTTGCCTATTTATTAAGGTGTCAGAATGGGAAAGCATAGAACAGAGACCCATTTAATATTTGGTCCTCTTTCTCTCCATGCTTTGCCATGTCCTGTAAATGTTTTTCAGCCATAATGAAGTCACTTAACTTACTTTGTACTAAGATGTACTTTATATACAATTCATGGTAGCACAGCAAGTTTGTGAAAACCTAGATTATAACTGTTTGCACAGCAAATGTTTATAAGTGTTAATGAGAAGAGTACGATATGAAAGCATAAAAATTCTAATGCAAATCTCTAGGGTACAAAATGAAAGAAAATATACTAGTAAAAACTACTTTTACATGATCTAAAATGCAGAAAATGTTTTCAAATGTTTGTATCACTTACACCAAAGGAAAGAATCTTGCCTTTCTGCTCCTTACTTTCTGTAACTCAGATTTTAAGACATCCACCCAAGAGATTTTCAACTCACAGGTTTCATATGGGAACAATATAAACCTAAAAACTAGTTCTTTGTGTGTTTTATATTTTTGACCTGAAGAAAAACAAAACCCTGTACCTTACAAAAGTATATAAATTCTCGCTTGTGTCACTAAAGTAATATTTAAAGATGAATGTATGTCAAGATCTTTATAAAAGTTCCCCATGCTCAGATATGTCTAGGTAATTTAGGTCAGCGGTATCTATTGAGCATTTCTGTGTTCAGTTTGAGGAAAGGGATCATGAAGACAAAACTCCTCTAGGGCAGCTGCTCAGGCAAGTAGGAAAAGGTGAAACGACCGGATAATGTACAGATGTTTAACTTAGTGTTAAAGAGTTTACACAGAACAGGTAAGTGAGCAGGAGGCTCTAGCTGGGCTGGAAGCCTGGGAGCATTTGGCTCAGTGAAGAGAACAAGCAGATAAACTAGAGAGTCTTCTCCAGCTCTCCCCCCATCCCCATTTATTTTCTGATTCTGGCTAATTTTTTCAAAAAGAGAAAAATCATCGGCTCTCTAATTTTTAAAATGGCATTCTATTCATATTTCCTTCTCAAATTAATGAAAGGATAACTTGGGTTTTCTATCCTTTTGTTAAATAGGCTTCACTGATATGTAGGTTGCTTTTCTATTTATATCTCTTAAAGTGGTGTTTGATTTCTTGCTTAGACTTTTGCTGATTTTATTCTTATCAGACTTTTCACTTTCTCTGCAGTCCTGGATCATGGAGACCCAGGCACATGGTGGCATTTAGACCCTTGCTTAACCACACTTTTTACATCTTTAAGATTTTTTTTTTTCCTAAGTTTATTTCTTAGTTTACGTTTATTTTATTTTAAGGGCCAACAGGTTGTTTTGGACTTCTATTTCCCCTGCTTCTGTTGAAATCTGCTTTCTTAAAATGAGTTTCTTTTTAAAAAAATGATTTTTTTCAAATTCACCTTTTACCTCCATAGACACCGTCCTGTTTCTAAACAGCACAGTGAGACTTGCTTTCTGCTTTGCCAAGATTTTAACTGTCAGCATGGTTGTCTCCCATTATCTCCCCAAAACATGCAACTCCCGAAAACATGCTGGAATAAGACTTCCTATGGGTATTGCTTTCCCGGTAGCTAGCTGGTTTAATTTCCCCCGTCACTATTAATTCCTGAATAGTGATAACACTGTGGTCATCTGGTCCCATTTTCTCCACTTCCTTTGGGAATAAACCCCATATCCCTTGCTTTTCTTGTTCCACTTGTGCCTCTGTCTTTACTACTTATTCTACGAACCAAAAAACAACATTGTACATACTTGATGTCAAAAGCACTTCTCTTGACATTAATCTGTTGTATGAGAATTTATAGTTGGCCACACAGTGTAAGCTTATTTTATGATAAAGTTCTATCAGTAGTGATACTGGGATGTAGGTATTTCTATTATGTCAGCTTTCTGGAGATTTTCCAAAGCTTGGTGACTTACGCAAAGTCGTACAGCCAGGAAATTATTTAGCTACAATTCAAATTCAATCCCGGGCTCAATTCCTATTTATCACTTATTCTAGTTAACCCGTGGATGAAATGGTCAATAATGACCTTCAATTCATCATCTTTCTTATTCTTCGTAGTCTCTTAATGGTATAGTGCGATGATTTAATAGATTAGTGATAGTTCTCAGGTTGTCTTGGGTTTGTCCTTTTCTCTCCTGAGGTCACATTACATGAGATCATGCATCAACCCTTAAATGGCACTTTCTTCTTGTCCCTTCTATAGAATCATACCAAAATATATAGATTTTTCTATCCCTTCCCAGACCAATCTTTAGCAGATCACCCAGCACTTTCCCAAAGAGACAGGCTCTCCTTGTGAAAGAAGGCCACTCCCATTGAACACCCCAATTAACCTAGACGCACGTCCCACCTGGAAGGGAAGAGAGCGGGGTCTGTAAGGACCCTCAAAACAGCATTTACTTTCCTTCCGTAAGACCTACTTTTTGCCCAAGGGAGCTAGTCCCAGTATCTGTTGATTCTTTTGTCATGATTAAGATCTGGGTCTGCCTTATCCCAGCTCTTCAGATAAACAACATCGCAGGGCAAGAAAACCAAACAGAACGTTTTAGAATTTTGTGTCTTCCTTATGTAAGTTTTGATCTCCAAGTACAATTAATGACTTGCTGGGGTGTATTAATAGAAGAAAGGTGACCATCACGGATGCTGCATATTCCAACGATGACAAGTAGAAGCAAACGATGACTGTGTTCTGTACTGGAAATCTCCTGCCGTCACCAAAGTTATTATGTCGTTGATCTCAGAGCTTGTCTCACATTCCGACTGACGTTTCTCTTCTTCTCCCAACCAGTTAGAGCTGAAACCTCAAGGCCGAATGCTGATGAATGCAAGATACTTTCTGGAAATGAGTGGCAAGTGACATTTCTTCTTCCTGTTCAGGGGTGAGGGGGGCATGGTGTTCTCTTCAGGTGCACCTTCTTTTATTTTTGCAATTATCGTAGAAAAGAACTGAGGGGGAAGTGGAAGCACAAGGAATTTTCTTAAAATTCCCAGTGGTGCTCAGGCATGAATTGAAAATGCACTGTCTAGGCCAGATAATCATAGAAACATAAAACATTTACAGCATTCATGTTTAAATGGTGTGAATTCATATGCCCAGTGCTTGTATAGGCTGCCTTTATTTTAATCTGGGAATTTAATGTGAATACAAAAGACTCTGTTTATATGTCACCGTCTGTGTGCAGATTGTCTGTGTATAAATGATGTGCTATAACAAGCTATCACACTATTGGTAGAATATGAAACAAATAAAAAACAATAAATATTTTTCATAAAACTGGCAAAATGCTAATGCTTACAGTTCATCTCCTCAAATCATTTTAGGAGTAAGGAAGGGTAAGAAAACGCATGGCTAAAGAGTTTCAGTTCCATGTGACAGGCAGATTTTGGTCACAGAAGTTAATTTACAAGCACGTTGTGCTCGGTGCCTGTCAGTGCTGCTTTAATGAAACAAATTCTACTGCTCAGAAAATCCTAAGCCTCAGAATGGACATGTGAACTTACCAATGGTAAACTATTCCTTTTTTTTTTTTTTTTTGAGTTTTAGTTTAGAGATTTATGTTGCTATCTGGGTTTTTGCTTAACACATATGATTCCTTTGGGTCCAGATTCAAGCAAATACATTGGAGAAAATAATATTATGAGATAACTAGGGAAAACTTGAACACTCACCCGATATTTGATAATATTGAGGCACAATTATTTATTTTTTAGGTGTGATGATATTGTGGTTATGCTTTTTAAAAAGGGGTCCTAATCTTTTACAGCTATATGCTGAAATATTTATAGATGAAATAATATGGTACCATGAATTTGCTTCAGAACAATCCATTGGCACAGGATTGGGGAGTGGACAGAGTTATATTAGAAGGCAGTGGACATGAATTGATAATTGTCAAAGCTGGATAATTGGCACTTGGAAGTTGATTACAGTATTTGCTCAACTTCTGGTGTTCATTCAAAACTTTTTGTAATAAAAATTTTTTAAAAGAAAAAAAAGAACTGAGAAGGGAGAAATGTACTCTGAACTTTTTTTTTGTCTTGGAGGCTGTAGATATATACATGTAATTACACCATTTTAGAGTTGTCTAAATAAGGGAGTGATTGTAGGATATCTAAATAACCGGATTTGCATGAAAAGTAAAAGTACTGGCCTAAATGATATTACCAATAATGTTTAACTCTTTGAATAAGAGACTATACTCTTCCCATTAGTTTAAAGTATGACCCAGTGTAAAGTGAAAAAGTCCTCCATCAGAGTGCAAGTATTTTTGGTAAATAGTTTGAAGACCCCTGCTTTGCAAACAATTCCATAGATATTTCTCCCATTACTACAGAACTTAAATTTTCTATAAGAATGAGAGAGCAAATTCGGGTGGGGCAAAAGCAGTGATACTTCACAAACAATAATTACACAATCCCAGGAATTTTTTTTAAAGAATAAAACTTTGCAATATTTAAAACTTTTTATATCTAGACTCAAATTGAGACTCCATCTCTAAATTTTTGTATATTAAAAAAAATTTTAATTTTTAACAACCAATATTATGAAGTAACCTAACTAGAAAATACCTTGTTGATAACAAGGAGAGAGGTACAGACAGGGTATCATTTAATTTTAGGAATGTTTATTTTTCTGTATAAGTACTAGACTTCTGAAGGATTCAGAAAAGCAAAACATGGATTTTTACAGTCAGGAAACAAAAACCCAGATTGGAGAGGTGGTACAAATTAGACACTTAGAGAAGAGTTATATCCTAAGCCACTTAAATACTGATTAACCAAGAGATTAGCATGGGTTGCTTTCATCCTAGAAGATTTCATAGTGTGGGCACTGAAGGATAACTGGAGTTGAGATTTGCAAAGAAGAGGAATAGCATTGTAGGAGGAAAAATCAGGCTTCAGCAAAAATATCGCATGGATGGGCACTTTGAGGAAACCAGCCTAGTAAGCCCTGCTCTTTGCAAAGAAGAGGAATAGCATTGTAGGAGGAAAAATCAGGCTTCAGCAAAAATATCGCATCGATGGGCACTTTGAGGAAACCAGCCTAGTAAGCCCTGCTAATATCAGAATGAAGAGTCAGAGACGGATGTTGGAGAGCTTGGAGCCAGCTTTGGGTCATGCTTTGAGCTAATGGGAAGAGTATACTTTCTCTTATTCAAGTAATGAAACATTATTGGCCTATGAAATTTTATTTAGGCTATGGAAAGGTGATGAGAATCTGGTCTAGGGGTGTGGTTGGAGGAATCACGTAATAAGCAGAGCCTGAGAGAAAATAAGGTAGCAGCAAGATCTCATGGCACTGCAAATGAAAGGGTACGCCTATTATAAATACATAGGTGCAGTGCTTTATAATTCCTTAAAAATGAAAGTTGAATGAAGGGTGAAATGTTGCAGATATCCCATAAAATAGCTAGACTGGGCTAGACTGGGAAAATGATGGTAGGAGTAGCAGAGATGGGGGATATGGAAGAGAAAGCAAATGAGGGGAGATAAGGAATTCAAGCTTGGATAACATGTAAGATGACATGCCTCCTGCTTCCCTCTTCAGTGGACTCTTCTCTGTCCCGCTGGGAAGTAAATGGCTTCACTCGCCATAGACAGATCCCTCTGTTCTTTGTCTTTGAAAACCTTCATTCACTGATTTCTGTGCTGGAATCACTTTTTCTCTTCTTCCTCTGTTCTCCTAACATCACTCTTTTGGCTGCATAATTCACCTTCGCCATTGCATACCGCACTCTGCTATTTCACACCTTCCTATACTTTATCTCTAGCAACTCGGTAACCAACCTTCACCCACATGTCAGCACTGGGAATCCTGCACCTGCAGGGACTCAGACCCAGACCTGGCTCTCTCAGAGCTCCTCCCCATCCTCTGTCAATTCCGCCCTCCTCTCACTTGTAAGTGAGAGACTTTACCCTAATCTAGTTTCTCTTTCACCCCACTTATTAACCCACTTCTGGTAATAGCTCCTTACATAGCCTGGCCCCGTGATAAGCCCCTGCCAGCACCCTGCTTGCATTAGTTCCCTCCTCGCCACAGATACTCTGATCTCCAAGCCATGCATTCTCCCCTCTCACTCTCCTGCCCTGCTAGGAAAAGTCATTTGCTGAGAGCATTACACATAGATGCTTCCAGATGATGCTCCTGTTTCAGACAATAGTTAACCTCCTCCAAGCCATGCATTCTCCCCTCTCACTCTCCTGCCCTGCTAGGAAAAGTCATTTGCTGAGTGCATTACACATAGATGCTTCCAGATGATGCTCCTGTTTCAGACAATAGTTAACCTCTTGGTAGGCCTCTCCAGCTAGGTTCACTATCATTACTTTTAATTCTATGGAATTTAAATTACAAAATTTAAAGTGCCCAAATTAAATTGTGTCCAAAATTACACTTGCCATTTTCACCAGCAGTCTATTCCTTTTGTACTCAGTAACACAGTTAATTGTTACTCTTGGCAAAACCTGGAAGTAATTTTTATAGCCTCCTTTGCCTTCACCCCCTGCATCAATCAGTCAGTCGTGTCTGTCCATGTTGTCTGGTCAGTATTTTTCAGTGTCATCCTCTGCTTACATCATTGTGACCTCCTGCTGTGTCCCACTCATTCTCCTATGCGGCTGCTAGCGTGGACCATGTCAAGCTCCAGTCTGACCAAGCCATGCCTCTGCTTCTCCCCATGCCCCTGCTACAGACTTCCAGTGTTTCCAGATTATCTACAGGACAATGTTCAAACTGATCTGATACCTACACGCCTTCTGGATGTGACCACAGATCTTTTCTGCTTTACTCTCTCTACTCCGTCAATACCCAACTACTCCAAAACCAAGTCTCTTCCACCTAGACAGACTTGGAAATATGTATACCCATAGATGTATATCACCTAGAGAGAACACCTTCTGTTTTCCCCCTCCATACCTTGACTCACGCGTAAGTAGGAGTTATTTATCCTTCAGAGCTCTGTTCAGAAATCATCTCTGCTGGAACCTTTCTTGTCCAACATTCCTCTCTTTCTCACCTCCACCTACCTGTACTTGCCTCAGCTTGTAAAGTTTTCTCACCTCTGTCGTCCCATAGCATCCTGTGAATACTTCTGTTCAGACATTTACCACATTGATTATCTTATTTCTGGACTCTCAACTCCTTGCAGGACAGCAACAATCAAACCACATCTTACTTATCTCCTTATTCCAGGGCCAGGTTGCAGGTTAGGCAGGTAGGAAGTACCCGGTGAATGTTGAACTGTTCAGTTGGACTCACTTGACATTGAGAAATGCCTTTCATTTCCTTTTGATTCCCATGCAATGGCTATTGCTAATATGTCATCCTCCCTGGTTTCTGAGGGTGTCTTCTCCTCTCCCTCTTGGAGGCTGACCTTGTCTCCCAGAGTAGCTGGTAGAGACTCCACTTTCTGTCTGTCTCTGCACGTCAGAACGCGGCTGCGTCCTCATGCCTTGGCTTCCTGCTCCTGCGCCTCAGAGAGCCCCTGCCTTTCTTGGTCTCACACCTGTCATCTCCAGCAGCCCTGGCCATCGATACCTTCCTTTCTGACAACTTCAACTTTTCCTTCTCTTTGTGGTTTTCTCCTCATTGCCAAGTTATATTGTATTAAGCCATCCCACCCAATCTTGAAAAAACTCTCTTTCTTTTAACCTTTTGTACCTCCATGAGTTTTTCTTTTCTTTCCTTCCCTGACACATTTCTTGAAAAAGTAGTTTCTATTTACTAGTCCCTGTTTTTTCTCTACTCCCTCAATTCTTAAACCCTAAGAGCCTGGCTTATATTTCAGCCATTCTGCAGAAATGGCTTTCTCCAAGATCATGAATCCTCAAAACACATTCTTATTTCTTAGCCTTTAATTTCCTTGACATCTATCAGTCCATGTTGAAAATCCCATTCTTTTCTGGTTTGCCTAATGGGATATTGTCCAGGATTTCCTCTTAATTTTTCAGCTTCCTCTTTTTGGTCTCTTTTGTGATCTATTTTCTTACCTTCTAAAAAAATATGGGTATATGTATCTCCAAGTCTATTCCACGCCATCATGTACTGCCTCTTAACAGTTAGCTGTTCTCGTGTGTGTACCGTGTCCCCATGACTTAACTGTTTACCGCTCAAGGGTTAGGAATTCCATCTCATGTTTCTTTAGAACACTCAGCATAGCAATTTACTTACAGCTGCTCAGGAAATGTTTGTGATTTGGTTGACTGCAAACAAGCAATAGATTAGACTAAATAAATGTATTAGGAGCCATTAGTATAAAAGAAAAAAAGCAAACATATAAAAACCCATGAGCTTATTCAAGCCAATAAATAAATAGAGGGGCAAATTGCTTCAGAAATAAATATAATCAGTACCAAAAGAATTAAAGAAGTTCTGTGTTCTTACATTTACTCTCTTATAATGATTGAAATGGGTAGAGGATAAAGGAAATCACAGGAAGGAAATTCATTTCCAACACTTCCTGATTTTTTAAAAATTTACAGTATTATAGTTTATGCACACTAAACACACACATACATTTTTACAGTAATACCATTAAGATTCCCAGAATAATTAAATTTTATTCCATGAATTTAAAAGCTTTTTTTTTTTACTTTATTTTATTTCATTTACTAGCATCTGGACCAAAATAGACATCAGTCATATGTTACTAGCAAATGACCTAATACCAGTCACAAGTTGTAAACAGATCTCCACACTTCTACCAGAACTTGTGGAAGAAGATGATCAACCCAATGGCCCTTAATTTAACCCCTAGTTCACCAAGCCTAATTTATTTCCAGCCTAGTCCCAAGTAAAAAGACCTAAATTACCTAGCCTTCAAGTATTAGGCAAAGTAGTATGCCCGTCTATGGAACTGTTTATGTTTATTATTATTATTTATTTATGTTTATTATGGAACCGGCTATTGGGAATGGTCTTAATCTGGGAGTTTGGGGTTAAGTGGATCTGTGGACCACTACACAGAAGACTTGATTCCTAAAATGTGTCCTGGGACTTGGCTGGATTCCTGGGGAGGGATCTCCACCTGCACAGCCCCTCCTTTGTCTCCTGGCATATTTCTAGCCTAGCCTCTAGTAGGGGCTGGAAGATCAGGTACCTTGGCAGGGGCCTCTGTCTCAGGCTAATGCCGCTGCTTAGCTAGAATTGAAGTAATTTAGTTTAAGTATTGTTAGCTCTTCAATATTTGTGAAATTAGATGAGTCCTTTACTCTTGCTTAAACTTCAATGTTTTGTATTTGTAAAAACAAAAGAATATGTAACCCAAGAATCTTCAAGCTATTACAAAATTACAATTCTAGGAGTTATAATCATTAAATTTTTATTCTCATTTTGGTGATGATTATTATTTTTTGAGTTTTTCTTTACTATTTACCGTGTTATTCTGTCTCACCTGCTGGGGTGTTCATCGTGCAGTTTAGCCATGACTGCCTTACCATTTCATGGTTTTTGAGGACCTGGGTTTCAGACAGGACATCTCAGGTATTCTCAGAATTCTACCATCTTACAGTCCTTCAGCATTTGGGGAAGAAATCCTCTGAGAATAGGGAACTGTGAACAATGACTACCCAAAACACCCACATCAACAACCAAGAGCCCAGGGTGAACTGAACAGCTGTGAATTTGATGGTTTGATGCAGAGGACTAGGCAATGCACAGGCTTACCTAGTCATTCAGAAATTGCATTGATCTATCAACTTTTTGGCCTTTTCCACATTGACCAGTATAGTCCATAGCTGGTGTATACTATCCCTGCCAACTGGAACGTAAACAACTTCCCAAAGTTCTTCTGCCCACACACAAAAATTTGGCCAGCTCCTTTCAGGCCACTGTAGCCTGTCTGCAAACAACCAGATATAAAGCATCCTGGCACCTCAGAAATGACGTTCCCAAGCTGCTGTCAGTAACCACATTATTCTCTAGAATTACACACAGAAGAGCATTTGCCACTTCCTGCCTATTCTGGCTGACTCATCACTGGCAGTGAAGAGGGAGGTTGATAAATACTCTGAAATTTCTGATCTCTGGTTTTAAAGACTAAAAGAGGATAGCTTGGCCCAGGCCAAGAGGAATGAAGGAACGTCATTGTGTCGGTCCTCTAGGAGCACACCCTTGGAGAGTCTGCATTACAGAATTAAGGACGAAGCTTGGTGCTGTAGCTGCCTTAGTGAGCACCTGGAATTCCACAGGCTGAGGTGTTGGTGCCCACCCACCTCTGTTCCTTGCCCATCTCCCTCCCTCCCCACCCAGCCGCCATGGTCATAGGCAGAGCTTCACTTGTCCCCTGTCCTCTTCCTACAGACACGAAGGACATGAGCGAATTCGAGACCGAAGGCTTCTTTGCTTTGCATCACCGCCGAGGAGCCATCAAGCAGGCCAAAGTCCACCATGTCAAGTGCCACGAGTTCAGCGCCACCTTTTTCCCACAACCCACCTTTTGCTCTGTCTGCCACGAGTTTGTCTGGTATGGTGACGCACGTTCCTCTCCGGGACTCAGGGTGTGCATCCTGTTCTGCTCCCCACAGTCTGCCTGCATCCAGGGCTATGCAGAGTGTGATCAATGAAAGGTTTTCATATGTGGCTCCTCTAGAGCAAGGAAGTCAGGCCAGGCAGAAACAGACCCAAGGGACTCTAGTTTCTGGTGAAACAGGAGGCTGCTTGGGCAGGAGCAGGGAACAGAAGCAGAGGTGTCTTTATTACAAGCCCAGTTTTCCATTTGTCCACAAAACATGCACGGCCTCAGCAGCCCGGCTGCACTGGTGCTGCTGTCTGCAACAGCCAGCACTTTCCCGTCATAATGGGTGGTTCAGATGTTTACCAGGCTCTTGGGTTCCTTAACAGCCCTCAAGCAGAGATCAGTTTAAGCCTTGGGAACCACAGAGCAAAGGCTGTGACGTTGGAGACACAAAATGCCTCTTAGTTCTGGTTCTCAGCACCCTCGCCTAGCAAGGGATGCCCCTTGCTTTGGGCTGCTGCAGAATCTGTGAATGCACAGGTCTTGCCTACCCAGGGTGTCCAGCGGTCACACAGACTTCTGCTCAATTTTCATCAACCTCTTTTCATCTAGTTATTTGAACCTCCTTCCTTTCTATCAGTGAGTGTTACCCAGGTATCGGTCCTAAGCTTGCAACTTTGCTGGTTGCAAATATTCTCAGACACTCAGAAGAAATAAAATGTTATGTCTTTGTTCTATAAATGTGTTATAAATGTCTTTTATAGAGTAAGCTTAGTGAGATGATGAAATGTTTTTTTCCTTCTGGAATGGATTTTTTACTTGTTTTAAAATAAACTTTTAAAATTAAATTTGAGGATAGGTTTAGACTTTTTCCCTTATTTTTATAGCAGTTTTAGTTTTACAGAGAAATTAAGCACCAGGTACATAGAGTTCCCATACCCACCCTACACCCACATACAGTTTCTCCTGTTATTGACACATTGCATTAGTGGGGTACATTTGTTACAATTATGAATCAATATTGATATATTATTATTCACTTAATTTTACATTAGGGTTCCCTCTTTGTGTTGTACAGCTCTGTGGGTTTTGCCAAATGCGTAATGTTGTGGATTCACCATTATAGTATCATGCAGAATAGTTTTGCTGCCCTAAAAATCCTCTGTGCTCTACCTATTCATCCTTCCTCCCTCATCCCCTGAAACCAGAGCTTCAGAGACAATGAATTTTTAAGTGTGGCCCATGGAAATTCACGACTTCGAGCCCATGATACATTTTGGTCACACATTTTCAATCTCTACATGTTTGTTTGGAAAACATGAAAAGGAAGAGAAAATCAGCAGCTCCTCATTTATTTATCAGACTTTTTTTTAACAAAGCCTCTTAACATAAAAAAAAAACACTATGTTAGCACTCTTGGCAAATGATACACCAGGACTGCTGATCAGAAACGCTCTATGATTTGGGAAGCTTTGCAATCTCGTTCACCTCTTAAGTGTTTGGGGGGCTGATATTACCATGAACATCCAAATAAACCTGCCATGTGCTTTATTACAGGGGTCTGAACAAGCAGGGCTACCAGTGCCGACGTAAGTGAGAAGGATTTCTGTCGAACTGTCGTCATTTTTTTTTCAGTTGCTCCGTAACTTCTGGAAATCTTAAGCTGCAATCATTTCTTTTCAGAATGTAATGCAGCAATTCACAAGAAGTGTATCGATAAAGTTATAGCTAAGTGCACAGGATCAGCTATCAATAGCCGAGAAACCATGGTATGTAATTAGATTCCTCTTGTCATCTGATGTATGATGATTTTTATCCTGACATTAAATTTTACAGCCCACTAATTCTCTTGAATAATGCCTGAGCTTGAATCCTTAAGCTTAGCAATGAACATCAATCTTTCTACAACTCTTCCCTCTTCAATAATGATTATTACTGTTACCAAAACAAGGGGATGATTAAGAAGGTCACAATAAGAATGTAAATCACTCTACCTCTTCCAGAAAAATGTAATAGAACATAGTGGCCAGAAAGCATAGGTTTGATTAATTATATGAGAAAAAGCAGGTGGCATCTACAGCTAGAAGTGTCAGCTAAAGACTAAATAAAGATAAACGATTATAAAATACAGAGACATAATCATTCACAGTGTAGTAAGAGATGGTGGCAGAAGTATAATTCTTATGTCGAGAAGCAAATATTTCTTGCCGAGTGAACTTTGAGGTATAGTCTGAAGACAGGTTAGATTTTACCTCGTGGAGAAGGGAACCTGAATTAGAAGGTTGGGCAGCCTGTCATTATAAAACATTTTGACTTCCTTCTCCTTCCCTCTTCTTCATTCAACAACAATTTACTGAGCATCTGGTGTGTGAAACATACTGTACTGTGTACGATGTGCGGCACAGCACAGAGCAGGTGTGGTCCTGCCCTAATGGACTCTCCCGCAAAGTTGGGGAAACAGATAATAAACGAACAGCCGTGTATGGTTTTGATTTATATTAAGTTCTGTGAAGATAGAAATCAAGGCACAAGGATGGAGAATGATAGGGTGGTCTACCTAGACTGAATGGCCAGGGACTCTCCCCAAGGGCCAGAATGTTTCAACTAGGAGCTAAAGGGTTAGATGGAGCCAGTTATATGGATAGCAGAAGAAATAAGGCTCCAGACAGAGTGGAGAGTCCAGCATGTTCTAGAATCTGAAGTGAGACCAGTATGGCCAGAGCAGCAAGGACCGGAGAGAGAATGGAACACCAAGCTCGGGAACTTGGCAAGACCTAGGTCACGCGGGGCTTCTTTGTACCCTGGAAAAATGATTGACTTTATGTGGCTTGTCATAGGAAGCCCACTTTGCGATGCTGGGGGGGAAACAGTGTGTTGAGATATGAAAGTAAAACCAGAGATCAAAGAGAGACACTAAGGGGGCAGGTTGGTGGTTTGAGCCCAGTGAGCAGATTTTCAGGGGATTTTGATGTTAGAAATGACTGGATTTTTGAAAGCATCAGATGTGAAGAGTGAAAGACAGATATAAGGATGATGTGCAAGGTTCTGGCTTCTTCCCGAGGTTCTGCAGAGGTTGAGCAAAATTCACGACACTGTGGATGAGACTGGGAGGAGAGATCTGGGAGGAGGAGTAGATGTTTCCATTTTGGACACGTTCAGTCTGAGATGCCTGTGGACTCCAGGTGGAGGTTATCAGTGAGGCAATTTCATACGAGCTTGAGACTGACTGTCATACAGGTGCAATTTAAAGCTGCTGAAGAGGTTACCTAGTGAAGGAAGAGAGAGAGAAGAGGGCTCAAGACTGGGGCAAAAGAATTTAAAATTAGATGTTAGGTAGAAGAGAAGTGGCAGAGACAGAGGGTGAGAACACGGGTTCACACAGTGTGTGTGAAGTTACAGACGCCAGGAAGAGAGTGGCTCAGCTGTGTTCCTGCAGGTAAGACACTGAGAAAAATGACGGCCATGTGGACATCTTTGGAGCCCTTGGTCAGAGAAATTTTAAGGGAATCATGGAGGTATTAGCCTGCTTTGAGGGTGACTGAAAGTGATGATGTGGAAACAACCTGTGTATTAAGATTAAAGGTCAACCATGAAGGAGATGTTGAAATTAGCCTGCTTTGAGGGTGACTGAAAGTGATGATGTGGAAACAACCTGTGTATTAAGATTAAAGGTCAACCATGAAGGAGATGTTGAACAGAGTGGTGGCTGGAGGGACAGAAGACAGCCAGGGATGGGAAGTACTTCCACGGCCAAGCCAAGCCATCAAATCTGTTGGCAAGAAGGAAAGAGGCCAGTGCAGGTGCAGGTGGGGCACTGCAGACAGAGGGCGCCTCACAGTTTTAACAGGAAGAGAGCAGACCAGGTGGCTGCTGCTGAGGCAGGTCTGTGATTTGGAGGTGAGAAGACAGGAGCCCCATTAGACAGCCTGTATCCTCAACAGAGTCTGAGGTTGGGGCAAGGAAGAAGAGAAGGCAGCAAGTAACTTTGAGGGATAAGGAAGATCTGTGAAATAATTATCCTAGAGATGAGAAAGCACGGAGATGGACAGGAAGCAGTGGGATAGTGGAGCCGAGCTGGAAGGCCACTTGAGTTTGACGGGATCGACCCGCCCAGGTGTCTTGTTTTGTCCATCACAGGGGCAGGTACAGGGAAGGCAAATTGGCTGAGTTTTTCCAGAGTAGAATTTTTTCTAAAATTTAGAGCCAGAAGAGGATAATCTCATATTAACAATGATCCTGCTAAGGCTCAAAGAAGCTAAAGTAGTTTGTTCAAGGTCGATCACCTTTAAGTGGCAGACCTGGGACTGAAATTCAGATCTCAGTCTCCAAGATCATGTTTTTGTTTGTTTAGATCGAATTGCCCCCTCCTAGCTTTCTCCCTTTACTGGATGCCTTCAGCTTTTCTAGAAAAATCCAGAATTGTCAGCATTACTGTTAACCTCAATGGCTAAGAAAATCCCTGGCACAAAGTATTCAGAAACTGTTAGTTAAATGAATGAATGAATGTGTGGTGAATGTTATGTTCTCTAGGGATATTTTTTATTTTTTGCTCATTCAAGGTGACACCATCCTTCTATGCTCCTGTGCCTGGAACAGTATTATCAATAGAAAGAGGAGAGCCACATGTGTGATTTAAAACTTTCAAGTAGCTTCATTAAATGAGGAAAGAAGCAACAAGTGCAATTAACTTTAATAATATATTTTGTTTAACCTAATTTATCCAAATATTATCATTTCAACATGTAATCAATATTAAAAAATTAATGAGACATTTTACATTTTGGGGGGTACAAAAAGCACTGGTTCTGGATGGAAGGAGAAAAGGAAATACTGATCTTAAAACAGGAAGAGGAGTTTCATTTATTTAAATGGGAGCAGCGTTTCCTTAGCTCCCATTTAGATAAGTCACTGGAGGCACCTCTCTCCTGAAACGTCAGCCTGGCAGTGCGGATGCTTCGGGCACCGCTGTCTGCAGAAGGCGAGCTTGCCTTCCCCAGGGGAGCTGAGGGCTGCCTGCCCCCTTCAGCCCTGACTATAAGGCTGGACAAGCAAAAATGACCATCAAAATACAGCCATGCCAATATTCTTGTTATTGGTCACTGTTAGTTATGTCGGGAACCTCGAAAGCCAGGACCCCAGGGACATTCCCAGGGTCTTACCTCCTGCCTTTCTTCCAGTTCCACAAGGAGAGGTTCAAAATCGACATGCCGCACAGGTTCAAAGTCTACAATTATAGGAGCCCGACCTTCTGTGAGCACTGTGGGACCCTGCTGTGGGGGCTGGCGAGGCAAGGACTCAAGTGCGATGGTGAGTCGGGCAGGAGGTGAGCTGGCCACACAGGGACGCCTGCGTGAGCCATGCATGCGCTGAGGCCTTCTGGAGAGCGGGAGGGGGCTGTGCAGAGACAAGGTCCCCCCACCCAGAATAAGGAGTGCGATGTGAGTTTAGACATGATCTCCCCAGGATGGTACAACCCTGCCCTTCTTTTCCTTCCACTGCAACATGCTCACATCCCATAAAAGGGAACGCAGTCTAGGTTCAAGGTCAAGGCTCCTGGCCCATTGCCACTTGCTGTTCCACAGCCCAGGAGAGAAATGGAGGCAGCGTTTCTCCTCTGACTGTCCGCACCTGCTGTTTCTTCGGTGGGTTCTAGCAGGTCTTGCAGTGACATGCCCTTGCCCTTCCTTGCACCAGCTGGTAAGAGTCTTCTAGAGTCTCATCACGGTCCCATGAAGGAGCAGCCCAGCATGGCCATTTGGTTGGTGCTTGGTCCGCACAGAGGGGTTCTGTGACTTCAGCTTGGGAGTCTATCCCTGAAGTGCTGCTGTGAACACAGATCACCCAGTAAGAGGCCAGGTCCAGGCCCAACCGCTGTTTTCCCTTCTCTGGGTTTCCTCAAAGGCTCAGATTGCAGGAGAGCCTACGACTGCCATTCTCTTCTGAGGAGCTACTCAGACCTACCCCGGAAAAAGGAAACACAAAAAGGCTTTCTTGTGCTAGAACTCCCAGTTGCTAAGGCATAGCCTTTGGAAACTGGGATGCTGCCACAGCAGGATTAGTGAGTAGGGAGAAAAAAAAAATCCCAACAAGAACTGACAAGGCACTCTGCCTTCTGGGTAGGGGTCAGGTTGGGGACAGGCCCAGATAATACAGTCACACAAAGAGGGCCTCCTGCCACAGCACTGACCTTTTGTGTGATGAACTATTAAATACATAAGCCACTTTTTTCTTTCCTGGCAGCTCTGTTTTAACGTACACCACTGGCTAGTGTCTGCATTTTACGCGCTAGAGGGGGCTGACCGAAGGTGGATGACCATCCCCCGCAGTCTCCCCTTCCCTGTCCCAAAGTGTTCAGGCCTGTGGAGCCCAGAGTGACATGTTAGTGGAGGCAGGAGGAGTTAGGTTACCAAATCAGTACCTAAGGTAGTCACGGGTAGTCAAAATTAATCTTGAGAATCCCTTCTTGGCCCTAAACTACCACCTTTTCTCTGTACACCTGTTCAAGAATACCTGGATAGACAAAAAATAAAGTCCCAGTATTCTCATCATATGAACAGAAACGTGAATAATGGAAAGTAGTGAAACTCCCACCGTGGGACGGTGTTCCCGTGGCGGGCTCACGGTCAAGTTTCCTTCTGGGAGCCCAGTGTCCACTGGCTGAGGCCGGGCTGCTCCCTACAGCATAACTACAAAGCCTGGAACTTCCCTGAGGATTCCCGGGCATTATTTCACCTGCTTGGTTCTATTCTTCTTCTCTAACATCTTTCCTCTCCATCCCACTCCCTCTACCCGCTCTCTCCTACCACCTTCATTTCCAGTCGCCCCTCCCTCTTTTCTTTCACCCCCCTCCCCCCTTCCTCCCCTTCCCTCCCTTCCCTTTATCACCTTCCATTGTTGCTCCAGACACCCCCAAGAGTCCGCGTCCTCAGCTCCTTCTTTTGACTCTTCTCGTTCTAGGCCTCTGTCCCCCTCTGTCTCACTCTTTCATCTTGCTTCCTTACAAGCCATCTTCCTGAGTAAGCCTCCTTTAGCCTGCACCCTGTCGCCTCTCCCTCTCTCCCTAGTAATTCTCATGAAAATAGTCATCAAAAGGAACTATTCGCACTCACAGAGATCGAGTTACCACCTGATAGGTTAGTAACAAGCACCTACGACCTTATCGTGGGGATGGTCACCTTTCTCCACCACAGTGTCAGAGACAAGCACAGACCTGGCTACGATGTTAAGGCACAAAGTAAAATCCCGATCCCATTGTGCCAAATCCTCACTCACTGCCCCATTTATGTTGAAGGGATGAGTAACAAAATAGTCAGGACCTCCCAAGTTAAAACCTAAAACCTCCTAAACTAGTGCAACGTCAATTACGCTGACCACACAGCATTCAGAGCACCGTCATAGAAAACATCCTTACTCTACTAAAGACTTCAGAAATCCTAGAAGATTTCACATCAAATGGATTTTTGTGGCTATGCATATATAACTGGGACTAGTAATGGTTTACAGTTATTTACACAGAAAATGTTGTTTTATTTTGTTTTATTATAAACTGTCTGAAGAAGAGTGGACTAGTTAAAACTAAAGGTGAGAGCTGCCAAAATTCACCTTAATGTTTTACTATGTATGTGCATGTGATAAATAAGAAGAGACATTGTATTCGTCGAGCACCTACTTGATAGCAATCCCTGCGCTGAGCTCTTTGCATACAAATGTGCTAATAAAACAGCGTGATTTCATAGCTCCTACTGCCTAATTCTGTTCTAGCAACCCCTACTTATATACTTTTGTAGACACAAGTAGTCCTTAAGATTAGAGTTCTATCAGCTGGAGTTTGGAAACTTTTATGTTAGATTTTTTTTATCTTTGTAATGGTGATGTTTCATAAGTGGAACTTGGATTTTCTAAAACTAAAGACATAGTATTGTAGTTCTCTTTACACAGACTCACAGGCACACACACCCTCCAATCCAGGAAGGATCCCACAGCCACAGGAAGTGGAGGTTAGTCCTGTTTTCAGAACTCATGAATCAAAATGCTTGGCCAGAATCCTGGCTTCTCAGAGCTAGACGCCTGTGTAGATCCCTAGTCCAGGATGATGGGTCCCTAATCTGAGGTCGTGGAGGGCACGTAACTGGCCCAAGGTCATGCAGATCTGTGCAGCTGCTGCCAGTGCATGGCTCTCCCCCCCACCCAGTGCATGAGTGTTTCCCACTCCTCTTTCTTCAGCAAAATCTAGAATAATACCTCCTGTGACTTAAAAAGATGAAAGAAAACTTTGGCTCCTTTTCTTTGAGCCCCTTTCTGAAACTGTGTTGTAGATGTGAATTGAAGCTGTTAACTTGCATGTGCAAGAAATATCAGTTTCTTTATGGGATGCTAATCTAATAATTACAGGGGTTCTCTACCCTTCTTGTGATCATAAAAGATTTTAGAAAGCGTGTATATAGGGGCCGGAAAAACAGGTAGTGGCTTTGCCACCTAGTTGCTGTTGGTGTCCCCATCCAAGACCACCATAACTTGCATGTGCAAGAAATATCAGTTTCTTTATGGGATGCTAATCTAATAATTACAGGGGTCCTCTACCCTTCTTGTGATCATAAAAGATTTTAGAAAGCGTGTATACAGGGGCCTGAAAAACAGGTAGTGGCTTTGCCACCTAGTTGCTGTTGGTGTCCCCATCCAAGACCACCATGGTGAAGCCTGTGGCTTTCTGTTTCTGCACCACTTGTAGGGTTTTGCGATTTTTGTCAAAGCTCGGGTCTCCATACATGCACTTTGCTGTGCTATCTCCCCTGGCATTGCAAGCCAGCAAAGATTTCTCCCTTGCTCCTGGACTCACAAATGGTTGCTCTTCCCTTCCCAAGTCCAAGAAAGGTGAGGGGGCTCTCCCCTCCCTTAGTCCCCATCCTTCCTGCTCTCAGACACTTGCTCAGTCTCCTGCTCCTCAGGGACACCTAGCCAGAGGCCTTCAGTTCTTACCCACTCAAATCCCGAGACAAGGAACAACGCAGCCTGGCTTTCAGCAAGAGATGGCCTGGCCAGGAGGAGGGGGGGCCAGGGAGGGAAAAACAATTAAGGAGGAGAAGAAATCCCAAATAGTATTTCAACACACTTGCCTGCTGCAAGTAGAAAATGTGGTAACAGTTCTGGAGAGGTCTTTTGGTTGGTTTGCTTTTCACCAGGTCTTGATAGCTTCTGACGTCCTCCTACCACCATGAAGGTGTCTGTAAAACAATAGCCCGGGTGGGAGCCTTTCTTCACTGTGGTTGTTGCTGTGGCCATGAGAAGTTTGGTGTAGCGCTTTCTGAACAGCTCTTAGAAGGGCATCTGTTGATCAAAGTAGAGATGTTCATGGGCCTCAGGAAAATTACATCCTGAGGACAAGAGGAGGATGCTGTGTGGAGGTGGGGGTGGGGTGGCAGAAGTGACCCAGGGACAGAACAGGAGGTGAAGAGAGGCCCTTGTGCCTTCTCAGGTCCCACTGCCTTGCTCTGGGGAGGCCAAATAAGGGGGGCTGCTTAAGGACCCCACAGTGTCCCAGAGGAGTAGATGGAGAGTAGAAGGGTGTCAGCACTGAAATGTCCCCACCTTTTCTGTTATTCCTTGTTCCAAAGAAAGAATTTCACTTTGGCATCCTCAAAATAGATTTTAGAAATAAAATTAATAAATAAAATGCCTAGATTTTCTGAGAATGACCAGAAGTCCATTGGTTCCCCACTCACTCACCCTCTCAGGTCTGTTTGCAAGAGACCCAGCTAACCTGGCTGTCCCCCATCACCCACGACATGCACACGCACGCACCTTTTATGGCCAAGTCTCTTAGTTGAACTCCAGCTCTCCCGAGTGGGAGCCTGTGTCTCTGGGCCCCTTTCCCTCTTCCCCGTCACACCCCAGAACCTGCACATGCCCCTCCACCATCGCACTTCTTCTCTGCAGGTGGAATCAGCCACCTGGCTCTAGCCTGGAGGGTGGAGGAGCTTCCCGCAGCCCAGGTGGGAGAGGGATGCTTGGGCTCCAGACGGGCGTGGGAGGGAGCATCCTTCCATCCCAGTGTTTTGCGTGACCACCAGGGAAGTCCTCCCCTCCCAGCTGTGGTTCAGGCCGCATGCATACCTGCACTCCAAGGAGAGGCTTTCCTCCCTGTGGACAAGGCTCAGCTCTACCCAAGAGGACTCATTCCCAGCATCACTGGTCCTTTTTCTCCTGCTCACCATCCTGCCATCTTCTTTTCAGCATGTGGCATGAACGTACATCACAGATGCCAGACGAAAGTGGCCAACCTTTGTGGCATAAACCAGAAACTAATGGCTGAAGCACTGGCAATGATTGAGAGCACCCAGCAGGTAGGGAGAGCATGACACAGACACGTCCCTGTCATTGTGGCTGGACAGGGACCGCCTGAGCCCTCTGCTCTGTGATCTGTAGCAACCTTGCAGGACAAGGGGAACATGCTCCTGAGCACTCACCTCGCCCCTGACTTTTATCCTCACGCCCATATCCTCCCCTTTGAGATGTTTATTTATTTAATGCACTTGTATTGTGTGAATCTTTACAAGATCTTAAACTCTTCATGGAATGAGCAGGGACAGAAACAAATTCATTAAAATTATTGAAGGTTCACTGCCATCTTCATACGGATTCATTAGGGATACAGTCACCTGGGGGAAAACATTTATTTGCTAGTATCATCCCCAAAGCCCCCTCAGAACACTGAGTCTGGAGTAACTTTTGCCTTACCATTTATACCTTGACATGGGCTGAATTTCTGTATCCAAGAGCAGCCCCTCTTGACTTAGCATTGCCTATGTTAGCTATTTTTCCATGCGTTGACCTTCCATCCTTGTTTGTGATGGAATGACATGGGTAGTGTGGGAGAGTCTGTTTAGCCCCAGAAAAGCATGAAGGAAGCAAGTATGTTCTGCTGGTGCATTAGATACTAGGGACTCTCACAGGGTAGGGGAGCCTCAGAGTGCCGAGGGAAAGAAGAGCTTTGGCCGTTCTATGCATTTTGGAATCTTGAATGGTTTCTGTCCCCATGGACAGCAGGACAAGCTGTCCCATCCATGGGGGTCTGACTCTCTGTTTGTCATCTAGGCTCGCTCCCTGAAAGATACTGAACAGATCTTCAGAGAAGGTCCTGTTGAAATCGGTCTCCCGTGCTCCATCAGAAGTGAAACAAGACCTTCATCCGTACCGACACCAGCGAAAAAAGGTAGCTGTCCTGGCCCACCGTCAAATCAAAATCAGTAATTAATCTTGATGAACCTTAACCCAAGTCCTCTAGATTTAAGTTCTCAGTTTACCTGGTCTGTGGGCGATCCTTTTCTATTTCAAGATTACAGACCTACCCACCACGAAAGATAAACTTGGAGATCAAGAAATAAACGTAATGTTACAGAGGAGAGAGAGATTCTCAAAAAAGTGTACTATGCCTCCTCTGGCAGCAGGCCAGGACTAAACCCACTTAAAAGTTTTTGAAAGAAATATTTGGGTTAAACTTAGGAAGGGTGCCCAGGCAGTGAGGTGGACCATGCCCCAGTGTCTTGACTTGAGACTGATGAATGATGTAGTTCGGATCCTCAGCAATCTGCTGGGTTTCATTTCTTCTTCTCTTACATATGATCCATAGAAATTGACTCCACCATGCCTGTGAGCAACACAAACAATTGAGTCATCGTCCCTCCAATTTGGTTAAAATCCATATTTGTCCATGTTTTGACGTTATTAAAAGTGCTTGTTTGCTTTGCATATATCATCTTTCACTGATTGGAATATGTCTCTTAAGTTGAACTATTTCCCAGTCTATTGGATAGATAAAGAGACACAGCCCACACCCCAAATGCCAGGCTCACAGACAGGAGGTGCCACCCTCAGACAGATGGAGAGATATTAATGCTGCCTGAACTACAGGAACACCCCTTCCTAATAATTGTTGATGGAGCCTCAGAACAGAAGGTGGAAAATAAAATGTGTTCTCTAAGTAATGAAAATGACCCTTCATCATGTTTATTTTTGACCACTGACTTGACATTTTCAGAGCCTCAGGGAATCTCCTGGGAGTCTCCGTTGGATGAGACGGATAAAATGTGTCATCATCCGGAACCTGAACTGACCGTAGAAAGGCCATCTCTACATATGAAACTAAAAATCGAGGATTTTACCTTGCACAAAATGTTGGGGAAAGGAAGTTTTGGCAAGGTATGCTGCTGTGCTATAGAATCCTATGGGCCAGATTCCAGGAATTAAAGGACAAAGCTTTTGGTTGGTGCAGCGAAGCTCGTGGGACCAGAACTGTGTGTGGGTGTGTGGGTGTGTGGAGAGAACTTCCCTGAGTATTTTGTGAGAGGGTGGAGAGATCTCCAAATAAGCAGGGACCTGGGGGACTCTAGGGCAGCCTCTGCTTCCTGGGAATCTGTCCCCAAAGCCTCTCTGCTTTGGGGGTGGACACCCCACACACTAGTGAGTTGGATGTCTTTGGGCACCATAGAAGCAGGAAGATGCCTCGGCCACTTCCTGTCTCTCGTGGGTATTTTTGTTAGTTTTGTTTTTCCCCTTCTGCCTCTTTCTCAAGCCTGGAGTATTGTTTTACTTTGTATGTGACTATTTTCTCTATCAAATGTCTCTAAGCCCATTCTCCCATCAGTTTGCTTGGGCTGCCATAACAGAATACCAGGGAGTGGGCGGCTTGAACAACAGACATTTGTTTTCTCACAGTCCTGGAGGCTGGAAGATCTAGGTCAAGATGTGGACAGGGTTGTTTCTTCCGAGGCCTCTGTTCTTGGCTTGTAGATGGCCGTCTTTTCCCTGTGTCCTCACATGGTCTTCCCTCTGTGCAAGTCTGTGTTCAAATGTCCTCTTCTTACAAGGACACCAATTATATTGTATCAAGGTCCACCTTAATGACCTCGTTTAACCTTAATTACCTCTTCAAAGGTCCTGTCTCCAAATATGGCCACATTCCAAGGTACTAGGACATAGCACTTCAGCATAAGAGTTCAGCCATAGTAAGGCTATAGCTGGAGAGTCCTGGAAAAAGTTTTATGAATAAAGCCCCTCCTCTAAGTTCTTCCTGCCACACCCTCAGGTAATGGGCTGTCTCTGTCACTCACAAAGGACAGGTGGAGGAGGAGGAGAAGGGAAGAAAGATGAGGAGGAAAAGCAGGAGGAGAGAGGGAGAAAGAAGACATCATTTAAGAAGTCTCAGCCCTCAGTGACGGCAAAAACTTTTCGAGCTAGTGATTGTGAGGAGGGATGATATGGAATACAGGCTTTTAGGTGATTTTACATATTGATATCTAATGTATTAATGGGGCTCCTAGTTGTTTTATATTCTCAGATGCGTCTCCTAGGAAAATTTTAACCTGAGGCTCCATGAATTTGTGCGTCCAAAGCTAGCATTATGCTCAGCACCTGCTCACCAGGCTTTGGCAGGAAAACTTACCCAGTTTATTTAATAATAAACAAACTAAAATTGAACTGAGCTTCCTCCACAGCTGAATAATACTGCACTCCAGTTGGGGTTTAGATTTAAACATCAGTGCACCGCCTTTCAGCAAATTCTGCTCTGCAAACTGTAGCTGATATCCATCAATTCTTTTAGCTCATTTCCACAGTGATATGAACCACAACAGGCTCATTTGGAGTTCATCTGAGTGTAACAGGCAATTTTACAGCTAATCTTCATTATAAGTTGGCATCAATTAACGTGCAATTATAACCTGTTACCAAAAATTGAAAGCACATTGTATAGATGGAAGTTTTAGTTTATAGCTGGTTTTAGGATGTTTTACTGAAAGAAGCAATCACCAAAAGAGTACTATTCATTGTTAATGAAATGTTTATCTTTCTTTCTTCTCTTGTTGATTTCTGCATTTGAACAAGGTAATAAGAAAGACATTAAGTTAAACCTACAAGCCTTAGTAAATGTCCCAAGGGACAGCCAGGAGCTCCACGTATCCTCGGCTCCAGGAGTATTTCCATCAGGACCCTGGGTCCCTGCACACTGAGAGGAGAGGAGGATGAGGCACCAAAGCAAAATGGGACAGCTGTGTTTTGCTGTCTCACAACTCTGAGAACACTCCAAATCCTGCTTTTCCTCTTTCTTTTGGCTCTATGTGGGAAGTATCATTCCTCACCAAAATGTCAGCCACTATGCTCTTATTCCCAATCTACTCTGAAGCCCAGGAGAACAAATTGCATGTTTCTAGGGATGTGAACATCATTCATGTGCATGAATTCTCACCTAAGTTCCATCTCCTCCATCAGGTCAGCTACCACATAGCTGTGGATCTGCACTACATTGTTTTAAGCCTAGACACTCACACTTTCGATACCGGTTTAGTGTCATTGATTTCAGCATCCCTAAAATTCAACAAAATAAGCAAATGGCAAGTGTTCTTATTAACTGTCATTTGGAGAACATTTTGTAGTTCACACATCACTTTCCCATGTGGTATCTCATTTGATTGCCACAAGAGTCCTGTAAGTTAGAGAATACGGTAATAATTATCACTTTTACAGATTAGAAAACTGAAGCCCAGAGAGGTTCATTGGTTTGCCCACATATCCACAACTAGTAAATGTCTGTGAAGTGCAGCCAGGGCTAGAGTTTTCTGTATCCAAGTGTCATATCCTTGCAACAGTCTGCTCCTGAGTAATTTGCAAGAGCTAACGTTATAGAAACTCTCCACTATGTGCCATCTGGTGTCCTTTGATGCAAGATTCATGAAATCAAGTAGAAAAAGTAAACTTTGGAGTTAGATCTTCCACTGAGTAGCTCCATGAATTTCAGCAAGTTATTCTTTGAATCCAGTGTTTTTATTATTAATATCTATCCATATTAGTATGTTTCTGTTGTTTATAACAAAATACTTGAAACTTTGTGATTTATAAAGAATACAAAATGTATTGCTTACAGTTTCTGAGGCTGGGAAGTCCAAAGTCCATCTGGCGGTGGCAACAGTGACCCAGGGGTCTCACATTGCAAGATGGTGGAAGCAGAGAGAGAGAGAGAGAGAGATTCTCCTCTCTCTTCTTTTAAAGCCCTCAGAACCAAGCCCCGGACCACCATTTTTAATCCATTCCCTATGGCATGGTCCTACAATCCAATCACCTCTTCAAGGCCCCACCTTTCAATTACCATAATAGGATTTCCCACTGTCTTAACAGTCACAGTGGGGGCCAAGTTTCTAATACATAAAACATGGGGGACACAATTCAAGCTTGAGTTTTGGGGGGACATAATTCAATCCACTACAGTACCGATCTTGCAGAGTGTTATGAGCTAAGAATTAAGTTAGGTAATAAAATTAGTATACATAAAGTACATAGCAGAATGTCTGATGCATAGTAGGTCCTGAAAATGTTAATCGTCTCTGTGTCATCACATGAAGTGGTGTTCATCTTTTAAGCATATCTCTCAAATGTTCTTTTTTGCCTTGAAGAACTGGGTAAAACTTTGAGCTAAGTTTTGTGTGCACTGCGGTGATCAAGTGACTTCAACGGTGACAAAGTTCTTGTCTCCACTATTCCACTCTTCCTCCTTTGTTGAGCACTTTGTCTCCCTAAATTTTCCTTATTCATTTACTCGGGTCCCTGGGCAGGCCAGGCATACTTATTTAAACAGAATTTTTCAGGTACTGGGCATACCCGTTAATAACTTTGTGAAACCCTTGGAAATCAGTTAAGGGCTTCATTGTGTCTCAGTAACTTCCCATCCAGGATGGAGGGGATTGGAGAAGGAATCCTCTTTTCCCACCTAACCCAGGTCTCTCTTAGGACTGTGTTTCTTCTTTAATGAATGGGAATTCAAATTTTCAAATAAAGTCACTTCTTACCCTTCCTTCCAGGTCTTCCTAGCAGAGTTCAAGAAAACCAATCAATTTTTCGCAATAAAAGCCTTAAAGAAAGATGTGGTTTTGATGGACGATGATGTTGAATGTACGATGGTGGAGAAGAGAGTCCTGTCCTTGGCCTGGGAGCACCCATTTCTCACGCACATGTTCTGTACATTCCAGACCAAGGTACGGCTTCCCGCTCAGACCACCCTCCTTCCCCTGTAACCTGTCCCAAGGGTGGTGCGGCTGACGGCGCCCTCATCTGGAGACCTGGGGTATTGTCCCCATGTTTATCTTCTTACCTTTCACCCCACCTTCCATTCATCCATCCACGCTAACAAGTTTATCTCTTCTAAACACCATGGAAGTATTACTCAGAATTGTTTTATGTAGTCGGTTGGGAAAGATGTTTATTTCTAGATCTGTTTGCCTGTTTTCTTGTTTCTTTTTTAGAAATGGTTTAACTTAGCATAACCACCAAGCTTCTAAGGAGTTGATGACTTGGGGGAAAAATGTGACACATGTTTGTTCATCTGCCGTGCCTGTATTTGCAGAGACAAAACGTTGGAAAATAGATCAAAACGCATATGGACTGTTATTCTCCTTTCGAAGGCAGGCAGAAAGAGCAGCACTTAGCGTGGGCTTGGTCAGTGAGTGAGCCCCTAAGAGTGACGTAGGGTGTACAAAGTGGACGCGTCAGCTTTGCCAGTCACCCTCAGGTCCTTTCCTGTGCTAATCTTGTCAGAAGGCTCCACCTATCTGGGAGGACTTTCATCCTGGTCTCCTCTTTTCTTAAAAAAAAATAATAATAATATACTCCTTATTTTTTTCTGACTCAAAAGTTATTTAGTATCATTGTAGAAAATTTGGAAAATGCTTATAAACTCAAAGAAGAAATTTGTTTTTAATCGCACCACTTGGGTATACTCACTGTTAATAACTTTGAAGTTTGTATTCACAGCTTGCTTGTCTAATTAAATACCACAAGTGAATGTAAAAAGCAACAATGTATAAGCGATAATTTGGGAACATTTTGGGAATGGCCTTTCTTGAGGAGACAGTCACCTTTGCACACCAGTGAAGGACGTTAGATAAATCAATGATTTACTTCTCTGGGAAATCGTTATTGTTCAAAGACAGTTATTCATTTGCTTTCTGCTTCCAAAGAGCCCACCTGTTGAATACCAGATTATTCAGGAGGTTCTGAGGGCAGTTAGTCCCTTGCTATTTACCAGAGGCATGTGCATTAAATTATGAAAGGTTTTTAAAGTTCATAGATGAGGGATATACAGCCTGTGGAAGGGTGAAAATCTGGCAAAGTCACTTAAGAAGCTAAGAAGAGTGAAAATTGCTGTGGATTTGGATTCTGAAGTTCACTCTCAGATGTGCCATTTATCATCAGGGCTTTCCTCCCCTTCCCCAAACAGAAAATAAGAATTACCCTGCATTTGCTACTTTTCATCTTTTTGATAACAGCGATTCCAACTGAGGTGAGATATCTCATTGTGGTTTTGACTTGCATTTCCCTGATGATTAGTGATGTTAAACATTTTTTCACATACCTGTTGGCCATTTGTATGTCTTCTTGAGAGGTATCTACCCAGGTCGTTTGCCCATTTTTAAATGAGATTTTTTTTTTTTTTGTTATTGAGTTGTTTCAGTTTATTCTGAGTGTTAATCCCTTGTCAGATGAATAGCTTGCAAACCTACTACTCAGCCATAAAAAAGAAAATTCTGTCATTCGCAGAAACATGCATGAAATAAATCAGAAACAGAAAGATAAATACCGAATGTTCTTACTCATATGTGGAAGCTAATATAGTTGAGCTCACAGAAGTAGAGTGTAGAATTGTGGTTACTAGAGGCTGGGCAGGGAAGGGGGAGAAATTAGGGAGAGATTGGTGAACAGATACCAACTTACAGCTAGATAGGAGGAATAGGTCCTAGTGTTCTATAGTAGTGCTAGGTGTCCATAATTAGCAATAATTTACAGCATAATTTCAAGCATTTAGAAGAGAGGAGTTCAGATGTTCTCAGCACAAAGAAATGATAAATGTTTGTGATGATGGATTTGCTTATTAGCCCGATTTGAACATCACACATTATATACATGTACCAAAATATCACTCTCTACCCCATAAATATGTATGATAAAATATAAAAGTTTTTTAAAAAGAATTATCATGTAAAGAGACTATGAGGTGTCAACCAGATACTCACCATGTTAGCAACAGAGATGTACAAAACAATCATGGAATCTGAACCTAAATCTGAATGAGGCTCCAAAGAAAAAAAAATCAAAGAATTTTCGAAACTGATTTTCTCTGTGCTAGATCAAGATGATTTTTTTTTTTTTTTTTTTTTTTTTTTTTTTTCCGTGTCCGGCAACGGATCGCAACCCTCAGTGTTGCCCCCGCACCGGACCGGGGACGGCAACGGGATCGCAAACCTCGGTGCTGCTCCCGCGCCTCGCTCAGCCAGTGAGCGGGAGCTGGTCTGTACGTGGGATCCGAACCCCCGGACGGGAGCGCCACCGCGCTTCCCAAGCGGCGCACTATCCAGTGCGCCACCAGGCCGGCCCCTAGATCAAGATGATTTTGTGCATCATTCAAGCTGCGATGTGAACTATTGGCATCAGAGTCTAATGCAGATCAGCGTTATGAGGGGTTGTGTGGTCTTAGCAGGAGGAAAGAATAGCTTTTCATTCTTTTTATTCTTTACTAATATTTCTTTATTATTTTTTAATATTTATCTTTTCTGTGCCTCACATGCAAGTCCACAAGGCTTGAGATTGTGTGACCCCTTCTCAGTACCCACTTTAGTGCATATACCAGCCAACTTTTGCACTATTAGGATTTTAAACCTATAGGTTCAGTAACTATTTTCCATTATTTACATTTAAAAAGTAAAAAGTTGGGGGCCGGCCTGGTGGCGCACTGCTACAAGTGCGCCGCTTGGGAAGCGTGGCGGCGCTCCCGCCAAGGGTTTGGATCCCACATACAGACCGGCCGCTCACCGGCTGAGCGAGGTGTGGGAGCAACACCGAGGGTTGCGATCCCGTAGCCGGTCCCGGTCCGGTACGGGTGCAACACTGAGGGTTGCGATCCGTTGCCGGTCACGAAAAAAGAGAAAAAGGAAAATAAATAAATAAATAAATAAATAAAAAGTAAAAAGTAGGAAAAATCCACAATAAAATTTATTTACAGGAAAAATTGTCATAAATCTTTTAACTGTATTCACTTAAAAGTAAGTTTAAAACAAATGGAAAATTAATTAACCATACAATTTTGACACCCCATTTCACAAATTGCTTTCAAAGGTCACCGTTAAATTAATTCAACAAATTTTTGTTGAGGATATACTCTTTGTAAGTTCTATATTTTCCCCCAAAAGAGTAAGACTCTAAAACTATATGGGGGTTAAATTACAAAGCTATTTAATCTTCCTATCTAATTAATTCTAATTAGCAAATAGGAAAAAAAAAGTTCTACCTATCTTGGAAAAATAATATTTTATTTTATTGATTTTAAGTTATTAATAATTAGATGCAGTCTTCATTTTCTTGATAACAAAACAAAATTGATTTTAAAACTATATATACTAGAAGCTGTCTCCCAGTTTCAGAATCGTGAAAAAGTGAAATAACGTGTGTGTTGGTTAGAAATTGCATTTGATTTCCAGTAACAGGAACAAAAAATAACAATGGTTTAAATAAGATGATCTCTCTCACACACACACACATAAAAGGAGTGGGATGTGTGTTTTCAGGGCTCCACAGTGTCATCTGAGACCCGGGTACCATCTGTCTCCCTGTTTCTTCATGCACAGTACTGGGCTTTTATCCTCAGGGGTACTTCTTGGTCCAGTGTGGCTGCTGGAGCCCAGACTCAAGCCACATTGTAGTCAGCAAGTGGGCAAAGAGGGAGAGGAGAGAGCAAGGCCTTGCCCGCTGTCTCTTCCCTACTCAAGCGCTCTTCCATAAGGCCCACAGAAATTCTGCTTTGCCTTTCTGACCTCTCTATAGCTGCAAGAAAAGCTGGAAAATGAAATCTTTTGGATGGGCACATTACCACACAGAATAAATTTTTTTATTAAGAAAGGAAGGTAGACAACCAGCCTTCTCTGTTCTAATATATATTTTAAAATAAAGAAAATGTTATTTAAAAAAAAAAAAAAAAAAACTACCTTTACTGGGGGCCTATTCTGTGCCAGATAGTTTCCGGGAAACTTTGAATACATTTTCCCATTTAATTCTGATAACCCAGTGAGTTAGTATTCCCATTTTATCCATGAAAAAACAAAAGCTCAGAAAGATGAATTTGTGTAAGATCGCTGAGCTGGTAACTAGAAACAAGGATCAATATTACCATTTGTCTCTGTGTCCAGATATTGGCCTGTGTATTCATACCATGTGAGTATCTTAGTGACATGTCACCTCTATAGTAACTAAATATTCACCTATAGGGAAGAAAAACACCAAGAAAAATAATTTCCCCCTCTTTCTAATTATGCTAGGATAAAAAAAGATCGATAATTCAAGTATCCAAAGTTTCTCTAATCTATCTCTGATAGGAAAATGAGAAAGTTTAGTTCCAACTTTTAGTTGGGAAAGGAAAGATACGTCTAACACTGCAAATACTGTTTTTATTTTTATTCTAAGAAAATAATTTTTCCTTAGAAATTTCAAGTGAACTAAGGTCTACCTTTATGTGTGTCTCCTTTGAATTCTGAAAGACCCATCTGTATCCAAGTCTAAAACTGTAATTTAGGAAGTGTTGCAATTTCACACCTAAAAGAAGCTTTGGACTGCACGGGAATATCGCTGGGTGCATCCTCAGGTTGAATCTGAGTGAAGTGGCTGAGGTTTTGCAGGTGTCCGAGCGGCCCCCATGGGTGCCACACAGTCAGAATGCTCATGCTCACAGGCTCACCCCACTGCCCTCAGCTTCCACACTCCCGATCTGAACCAGCTGAACGTTCTTTGTCAGTCCTACTTTGAAATTTCTCTTTTATGAAGAAAACTGAGTTTCACTTTCTATTTACAGAACACACAATGCTTCACTTCCTGTTACGGCTTCAGGGCATGAGTTTATGCCCTGACGTTTGTGTGACTTTGTACAAGTCACATAACATTTCTTTGTGACATTGCTCTTCCTTTTTTTGCCTTCATAAGGATAATGTTAAAA